TCTCTCTCTCTCTCTCTCTCTCTCTCTCAGTTTCTGTCGTCCTTGTCGCAGGTGAATGTTCGGGTCGAAGGTCAAGTTCATCCTCGAGGGCGTTGAGTGGCTGTTGAGTGTAAGAAATTCTCACGAAGCTTTCGTGAAATATTCCACGGGAAGCGGTGGAGTTGCGTTTATAGCGGGCGATAATACCGTTCTTCCCGTGCATCAACGCTCCATTAAAGTCTAATACAATCTTCCCGAGATCCTAAGGGAATGTTACATCTTCTCTCTATCGTTGTGCCTTCACTTCCAGAATCGATCAAAGCAAGTTGTTCTCATTTGTCGCGTTGCTGCTTGCCCGAGCTAATCGCTCCAATTGTGTAGCCTTTAATCTCCCGTGACATATAATGATGATTTAAGTCTCGTGGAGACTTTAATTGAGCTTCATCAATTTCGAATGTAAATGCGATGTATACGATGAAAAAAAAAACGAGAGTATAAATACAACGGATAAATATTTTTTTAATGCAATCTTCTCTACCAGATTAATTTGATTGGCCACATAATTTCGGGATATGAAAGAAAAAGACCACAAAGGTTTTCTTTCACCATCGATCGCTCGGATCAATTGGATTTCGGCTAGTCGTTCGTTTTCTAATTCGCGTCACTCGGTTCCGAACACGATCGACATTCCGGGCCGCGCCCATTTTCAACGCTTGTCGTCGGCTCGACAAGTTTTGCGTTTAGCCGTGTCGGAGAGCACGCAGCTCTGTGCGGTGCAATCGTATGCAATCTCCTTTATGGGAATCGACCGATCGCGGATCGCGTCGGCACATTGCTGGCATTTTCCTCTTAAACCGTGCGCCGCGGTTTCGTTCGCGCGCAGCTTTCCTTCGACACTTTATTTGGTAGAGATCGAAGAAAAACTGCCTCTACGAACTTTCTTGCAGTGAGAGAGAGAGAGAGAGAGAGAGAGAACTTTCTTGCCGATTCAACGACCAACGAGAGTTACACCTGAACAGAGGATGCGTTTATTAATAATAATTCTGTTTTAAGACGCAACGTGAACATTGTTTATAACAAATAAAAATGAAGAATTATTGTATAAATATACCGAAGGTGCTTGTCGAAATGCTTATAGAAATTTTAGCATTATTAAAGACGATAACTGGCTCCTTGTAACGTCTCTTCTGTTAAAATTGGAACGCAAGGTTCTTTCTTTCGGTAAATTTTGTAAACTTTGATTCTGAACAGAGAAGATTCTGATCCCATGGCAAGAAGTAAGAGATCGAGCCAATCGCGAGGAACGTCGCTTTATTAGGATCAGTTTATTGAACCGCGAAGAGAACGACATCAATCGATTTAAAACATCCTTGTGCGATCTGGCACAGAGGATGGCATACTCATTCTTGGACGATGTTCAAGAAGAAAAACTCGTCGTTACGACACGGTCCATTCATTCGCTGCTCTTGATTCTTCAAACTTTATATTCATAGCATTGCGTGTCATAATCTCATCTACAACCATCTCTCTCTCCGCCTATCTAAATCTTGTTTAACACGTTCCGTGCCAAGCGATTTTTGCCTTTTATTGCCGTTCAGGCCATTTGATATTTTGACTAAACGTTGATATATTATCACACAATC